ATCCTCTCTTCATTGGTTTCAACTTTGTATTTTAATTGTTTTTAATCTACTTTTTACTTGTATTTAAGGCACCATGAGTGTCTAGAAACGCCAAAGAAATGAAATTTATTATTATCATTATCGTCCTCATTACAGTTTGCATACAGTCATCCTTTTGTTATTTTCTGGGCGGAGATCTGACTTAGACAAGACTGTGCCTTTGTGTACGTTTGTGTTTTTCTTCTGTATTATTTTATAAAATGTGATCGTATTGCGTTTGGGGGGGTGCTCTAAATTGTTTCAGCCCACTCCTTTTGAGCAGAATTTAATACTGTTCAAGCAAACAAAAGATAAACAGCGTGCCTGTTGTAACACCAAGGAAAATAGCTGCAGCCAATGACAATATCAATGATAATAGCCAAGAGAAGACCAGGGGAAGACCCAGGACACGTTGGATGTGTCTCTCAGCTGGCCTGGGAACGCCTCGGGATTCCCCTGGAGGAGCTGGAGGAAGTGTGTGTGGAGAGAAAAGTCTGGGCGCCTGCTTTGACGGCTGCCTTTGCGACCCGGCAACGGATAAAGCGGAAGAAAATGGATGGATTGATGGAATGTTAGCCACACAAGAAAAAAAAAGAGACAATCCATTGATGAAAACAAATCTAAACTTGCAAATCTAAATAGTGCAAGCTGCAGAAAACTCCAATATTTGAAATCTAGGTGAAAGAATTTCTCCAGCTGTTTTTTTTTAATTTTTTACTACTGAAGTCATTTTCAGTCACAAAGCTTCAACTCCACGTTGAGCCCCCAAGTCTCAGCCCACTTTACCAAATTGATTAAGACAAGGGTTAGTTTCTATCAGCAGCCACTATTGAAGAACAGGGGAAAAGCAGCAGATCACAAAGTATTTAAGTTTGGAAAGGTAATTGTCATGTGGTGAAATGAAGGAAGTAACCAAAAGTCATGAATGCCAAAAATATATGATTAAATCAAATAATGAATGAAAGTTCAAGTAAAAAATAAATAAAAATCCAAACAGAACCAGGAACATGGACAGACATTGACAATGGACCAGCAACAAGTATGAGCAAAGGGTATAGAGACGCAGAGATACACAGGCGAAACACATCAGGGCGGGGCAGACCATCAACATTGGAACAGGACAAGAACTAAAACTAAAACAAAACCACAGGAGAACTACAGTCAAAACAAAAGTTCCAAATAACAAAAAAAAAAACCTACTGTACCATGACCGTAACAGTATTTACCTTGAGAAAATCCAGCACAACTATGATACACGTCTTACAAATATGTCTCACCTCAGCAGTGTAGCAATAATGTCGGATCCTGCAGAAATGCCAATCACAACAGCACTTAAACTGCTTCACAGGTAAATCAATAACCTCCTCTTATTCTTTGCACCTGCCACTGAGAAACTAACTTTACATTTTCATCGACATTGCTATATTTTTTCCTCAGGTGCACATCCCTAATCGATATATCACCCCTCCCTCCTGCCAAAGCGCTAAATCTGCAAAAACCTGTCATGTAAAACTGCCTCTGACATATCCATCCCATTGTGGGCTGCTCAGACATGAAATTACCAAAATGTCCAAAAAGGTTACGCTGCAGGAGAGATAGGCGTTAGATCCGGACTCGGACGGAAATGACAAGCCCGTAATCCTGCTGCCACTCAGCCAAGCGTGAGGTTTCTGAGTGTGGTGCTGTTTGTGTGTGTGTGTGAGTGAGTGCGGTGACTATTGGAGAGCTGTCAGAGACTGAAGCAGCACAATGTGAAGCCGATCGGGCCGTATGTGCCGAGGCTACGACCCGGAGTGTGTCAACAACGCACCCGCCGAGGCCGCAATATGGACACAAATGAACATGTCAACTATTATCCGTATAACTGTGTTTTTGCTGTCCATCAAGTCTGTGCTCAATGTTCTTTCAGTCTCACCCCGCAGATGTTGTTTCTATTATTAATGACGAACGGACGTTTTGCTCCAAAACTATTTATTTTTCACCCTTCAACAGTGTGCAGATGTCATTCAGTGTTTGTATTGTTCGTATTGTTCTTATGGTTTGGCCTGCACCTGCTGTTCTGCAAATGAAGTTGTATAAGATGTTGCATACATTAGTTTTAAGCCTTCCACAGAATGCATATCTTATTCGATAAATGTAGAATGTCATTATCGGAACGCAGTGTAATCATTAATATTTCAAAGCATTATAAACCTGGAATTGACTCAGCCTATTGAGAAAACCAATTGATAAACACAAGTTATAACCATCTAACTCCTGTGTCCCTCTTTGTCCAGACAAATATTCTGGGATCAACCAGGACCTGTGAAATCCAAACTCACAAATAAAATAGATGTTGGCCTTTATTGGCCAGGGAAGGCCCACTGAGATTTTCAGAATCTCTTTTTCCGGGGCGTTCTGGCCTCAGATAGGAGGCGGGAGTCGGGTTGGGGAGGGTTTTATAGGGGACTATTGTAGATGTTTTAAGTGGTAGGGAAAACTGAAGCACCCGGAGGAAACCTGCACAGACACAACATGATGCTAACTTGTTTTGAAGGTCCCTTCAGGAGGTGGCATCGTACCCAGAACCTCCTGGCTGTGAAAGTGTAAAAGTGTGCAAAACAGTTCAAAGGGATTCAAAGTATTCCCTGTGGACCTCTTTGTTTTATTACAGGTCACTAATTATCTTATTCCGTGAAACTTGCCTCCTGCTGTGAAAGGAACATTTTTAAAAATATATTCAAAGAATGAAGTTTAAGAAGATTCAACTTAAAGCCACAGGAGGCGTCACTTTCTGGAGGTCATCTTAGTTTTTCCATAAAAAATGTCATGAAGACTTTTTATTGCATTCCTTTACCCATTTTTTCTCTTACAACGGCAACTTAAGCCAAAGCAAATTTCCGATTTGTGAGTTAGTTTCACTTACAACGGCAATAAAAACAATCCTGATTCTGAAAACATTATCCATGGAAATAAATACATTTTTATGACAAACTGTGGAATACAGTAAAAGTAGCTCACGTCGATTAGAAGAAACAACATCTTCACGGCACTTTATTGTAAAAACCTGCAACCTGTTTAAGTTTTGACATTTGTATGTTGGAAAACTGAAAAAACGAATTTAGCTCAAAAGTTACACAATAACTGGTGGTAATATTTGATGATAATGACAATTAGACAGTATATCAGACAATGTAAAACAACGGCAACAATCTTAACATACAGTACATACAGTACACAGACAGGTCCATTAAGCACAATAACTATAGAACCAGTGAAATGCTAAACACATTCTTCCAGTATTCTATAATACAAGGAGGGGTGCGATTATGCCAGGTAGTCCCTGCACAGAAAATCAATACTAATCATGTTTAGGCTCAGCAAACACACACACACACACACACACACACACACATTTTACAACTACAGCCACTCCATCTGAATGAGCCCAGACAAAGCCACACAAAACCACTCCTTCTAACTCAGAGGGGACTCGCTCAAAAACACATGCATCTCGACTCATTGATTCCCCATTGATTTCCCATACAGCACAGTGACACAGTGACACCGGCCTCAGCCACGCCCAGCACGGAATCAAGCCTTTGTTTCAGGTATGTATGGATCAGGTGTAGAGCAGAGGAAATGTGGGGATAATTGAGAAATCATAGAATTGCGATCTGATCTTTATGTTTCTGATGAGATCGTGATTTGCAATTCAGTCAGATAAGTCTCTCACCAACACCCAAAACACCAACCTTCAATCCATTCAGCATATTCATATAATACTATATTCATCTTTTTAGTGGTTGGGGAAACCAGAACATCAGACATGGAGAGAACATGCAAACTCCATGCAAAAAGGCCCTGCAGGAGTCAAACCCAGGCCCATTGTCACACCACAGGGATCAACCAACCAATCCTTTTTTTTTTACCCTATTTTAGCAATTATGAATAGTGTTTTTTTTTTTTCAAATTATAGCCTCATTGTGCCTCTCTTGGGAGATTTCGACTGTGCAGTTCATGCAAGGCGGTCTAGGAATTTACAGTAACTGGAGGTGTTTTGAGAAAAGAATGCGCCGCTTTACCATCAGAGACTTTACCACGAAAGACTCAAGACGCAATCTAGAACCGGGGATGGAAACTTCTAATCAGGATCAGCTAAGTATTTCTGTTGTTGTTGTAAATATACTGTACATTCTCAAAAGGTTTGAGAATTTTAATATTGATTGTCCCTCGAAATCAATCTATTTTTTGAGGGACTTCAAAATGGCACAGGTCATTTTTTGTTTTTTTTATTAAAATAAAAACATATTTTGTGTTTCATTCATAGTCCCTCCAAAATGTGGCCACTAACAATTCAATATTTCTGACCATTATCTTTAAATAATTATACAGCATAACAATGCGACAAATACTTTACTTTTGATTCTTAGATTTCTGTCATTTTACCTGAAATATACTACACTGCAAAAAGTGATGAAAAATAAGTAAAACATTGCTCCAATTTGGCAAAATGTATCTTTCTTTGAGCACATTTTGGACTGCCCTAAAACCAGATTTGCCAATGGGACAACACAAAATGATCTATGTTTTAAAAAGATACAAGAAATGTCTCCGTTGGAATGAGAAAATTAAGCAACAGTTCTTGAATTAGACTAAATGGCTTTGTCCCATTGGCAGATCTATGTCAGAATGAACTCAAATTAAGACAAAAACCAATCAATTCAAGCAATTATTACCTCATATTTATCATTTTTTTGAAGTGTAAAGACATGCTGACTTTTGCATCCAATAAATAGATGATTTACGGCTGTAATTAATCCATAACTCAAGATAAAACCATCCAAATGCTCGGCAAATCATCGCAGGCAGCAACACAACAGAGAGATTGAAGGCACTGCTCTCTCGTTGTTGACGCACACAGGCACCGCTACATTCTGATGTTTTAATGTTTTGGCACCGCAGCCACAGTTTCTCAAAGTGCGACCACGAAGCAGCGACTTTTACCTTTTTGACGTGGTGTTGACGATTTCCGACACCTTCTGGATGTAGTCTGTCGCCAGGACCACAATCTCCTCGTCCTCCGAGAAGTTGTCGTGGAAAATCTGGTCCAGTAATCGCTTCCAGTGAAACTACAAAGAGAAAAGAGATGGAAACGTCAATAATGGTTGATCAGTGCAATATTGGGAAGAACTTTTTATTCTTTCCGTGCATAAATTAAAACATACATATCCTTACATATTTATTTGCTTACGTCGTATGAGAAATGACCAATTTTACCAATGGCTTTTATCATTGCTTGATTTTCTTATTTTCTAATGATTAATTGAAATGCCTAACCGAAACTCTTTTGGAGTATGTTCATTGGAGTTTGGCACCTCCTCTCTCACGCTAAACTAACACCATTTTGCTAAACAGGTGATGAGTAGAATGAGCCTGATGCAATTAATTTTTACTAATAGTAACAAATTGACATAAGAAGATAACAAAACAAAAAATATATGTATATATATGCCTTGTGTATGAATTGTGCTATATAAATAAATAAATATATTAAATTTGGCTCTAACATGATTACAAATACCACTTCTATCCTCATGATTTAAGCAAAGCATTTTACTATTAAGAGAATAAATTAAATAAAATCTGTAACTTTAGCCTAAAAAAAGAAGCAAGTATAACATCTCTAGCTTTAGCATTATGAAAAAATAAGAATTATACAAAATCTCCAACTTTAGCACTTTATAATGTGGCTGTTTGGAAGGGAAGAAGTTGGCAACGTCTTTGAGGCAGCTCTAAACTTAAATTTTTTTTGTGATAGGTTTTTGGGGGGAAAAGCTGTACATTTCCATTCAAATCAAAGTAGAGCGCGACGCCATTGTAGTAGGTGGTTCAGCGCAGGACACAAAACATAAAACTGTGTGTGAAACTTAAAAGCCTTTCTGTTTTTTGTTCTTAAACGCTCCTCTAATCTGTCTCGCCCGTGTTGTCTTTCTGTCTGATGTTTCTATAAACCGCTACTTCCGTCCTCCCCCACCTCCTCATCTTCTTTTGTTTTGGCTCTGGCTCCTCTGGCTCCTCTGGCTCCTCTAGCTCCTCTTCCTCTCGCCAGTGTCCCGCTGCCCTCCCCCTCCCCAGACGCTTCCCAGGGTCTCCTTCATTCTTTCGCCTTTCTCTCAAACCCACCTTTTTTCATTTCACAGCGCCTTCCCTCTGTCTGCGCTGCGGGGCGGACAGCTTTGTGACTCATTTGGTCCTGGCGTGTGGATAGGTGTGTGTGTGTGTGTGTGTGCGTGTGTGTAGCGTTGTGTGTGTCCCCCGGGTGGCGCTCTCTACTTAAAATGCTCAGTTGGAGTTGGAGTTGTAATCCATCACACATGCTTTTAGCCTGAGGATGGGCGTGTGTGAATGTACATGGGTTGAATCTGCAGCAAGAACATTCCATAGTTTCTACTGTACACTTTTGAAATATTGACATTGAAATATAGAAAGACATATTCGTAAGTAACTGAGCTTGATTTTTGCTCTGGCACCAGCTTTTGCACCAGAGACAATTTTAGACCTGATACGGTTAATTACACTGCAAAAAGTGATAAAAAGCGAAAAATTGCTGAAATCTGTCAAAATCTAGCTCAATTTTTACGTTTTGACTGCCTTAAAACAAGCAAAATTATCTTGCTTCAAAAAGATAAAATAAATGTCTTCCCTGGAATGAGAAAATGAAGCAACAGTACTTCAAGTAAGACTAAATGGCTTTGTCCCATTGGTAAATCTTGTTTTAACATAGTCAGCATGTAAAAAATTTTGATTATTATCGGATCATTTCTGTGTATTTTTTGACATGTGTTTCACTAACAAACCACCAGTGGACTCTGCAACTGTTCGAAGAAGACACATAAATGAAAATACGAGTGAACTATTTATGGGAATGATAAACTTTGAAAATGCATCGTATTCTACTGTAGATGAACTGTTTAACTCTGTCACCTCTAGTGTTTTGAATGTTCTGGATACCGTTGCCCCTGTGAAGGTTAAAATAGTGAAAAATAAGCAGAAGGCGCCGTGGGCTAAAGCAGACTCGGTCAGGGCACAAAAGAGAAAGTGCCGGAGGGCCGAGCGGAAGTGGCGCAAGTCCAACCTCCAGGTTGATTACAAGATCTTCAAAGATAAGTTGTGCGAGTTTAACCGGGTGCTACGTAGTACGAGAGAAAGGTATTTTTCTGAAATGATTGAAGGCTGCAGTAACAATCTGCATGTTCTGTTTTCAACAGTTAATAGATTAACAAACCCCCCTGTTCAGATGCCATTAGAGCTAACTTCCAAACGTAAATGCAATGAGTTTGCACACTTTTTCAATGACAAGGTTCAAGGCATCAAAAACGCCATTGTCTCCAATCCACAGATAACCATCCAACAGCCAGAAAGGCTCTCTGAGCTAACTTACTTTGCACCTGTAGATGATAAAAATGTCCAAGAAATAATCTCCAGTTTGAGCTCCTCCGCATGCAGCCTGGATGTACTACCCACTAGATTTCTGAAGTCTGCTCTGGGCAGTCTGTTACCTTCACTCACACAGATAGTAAACATGTCCCTTCATTCTGGAATATTCCCAAAGGCCCTGAAAACTGCAGTCATCAGGCCGCTGCTAAAAAAGAGCAGTCTGGATGCTACGGTACTTAACAACTATCGTCCCATCTCAAATCTGCCATTTATGGGGAAAGTCCTTGAAAAAGTTGTCTACCTACAGCTTACTAGATTTCTTATAATCAACAACTCATTTGATATGTTTCAGTCCGGCTTTAGACCCCACCACAGCACTGAGACTGCTCTTGTCAAGGTTACAAACGATATCCGGCTGAACACTGACGCAGGCAAAGTCTCAATCTTAATCTTGTTAGATCTGAGTGCTGCCTTTGACACCGTCGACCATGAGATCCTCTTACAGAGACTAGAGGACTGGGTTGGAGTCGCTGGCACCGCCCTAAGTTGGTTTAGGTCTTACCTTGAAGACAGGAAGTACTTTGTGGAGATTGGAGACTGTGTCTCAGATCATATGGCCCTGACCTGTGGAGTACCACAGGGGTCGATCCTGGGACCTCTTCTGTTCAATCTCTACATGCTGCCGTTAGGTCAGTTAATACGCAGAAACAAAGTGTCCTATCACAACTATGCAGACGACACTCAGATCTATGTCTCACTGACTGCAGGAGAACATGGACCAGTGGACTCACTCCTTCACTGTATCCAACAGATCAGTGAGTGGATGCAAAACAACTTCCTTCAGCTAAACGCAGACAAAACTGAAATGATTGTCTTTGGTCCCCAGAAACAAAGAGAGAGCGTCATCTGTCACCTACAGTCTCTCTCCCTAAAACCTTCAAACAAGGTCAGAAATCTAGGGGTAATACTGGACTCAGACTTAAATTTTAATAGCCACATCAAATCAGTAACATCAGCAGCTTTTTACCATCTAAAAAACATTGCCAGGATCAAAAACATAGTGTCTAAAGCAGACCTGGAGATTCTTATCCATGCATTTGTCTCCAGTAGGTTAGACTACTGCAATGGCCTGCTCACAGGTCTGTCCAAACAGGCTGTAAAACAGCTGCAGTACATTCAAAATGCAGCAGCTCGAGTCCTGACTAGAACCAGGAAGTACGACCACATTAGTCCGGTCCTCAGGTCCCTGCACTGGCTTCCTGTGGCTCAGAGAATAGACTTTAAAACAGCTCTGCTTGTGTACAAGTCTCTCCATAGCCTCGCACCAAAATATATTAGTGACATGTTAGTCCCATATGAACCAGCCCGGACTCTGAGGAGCACAGGGACTGGACTCCTGTTAGTGCCCAGAGTCAGAACTAAACATGGGGAGGCTGCTTTTCAGATTCATGCTGCTAAAATCTGGAACAATCTTCCTGAAGATGTGAGACAGGCCTCCTCTCTGACAATGTTTAAGACAAGGTTGAAAACAGTTCTGTTTAGCTGTGCATACAACTGAGGGATTTTATATTTTTATCTTTTTTTTTTTAATGTACTGTGATTATTTATGATTTTAATGCTTTCTTGTTCTGTTCAGCACTTTGAATTGCCTTGTGTATGAATTGTGCTATACAAATAAGCTTGCCTTGCCTTGCCTTGTCTGTTCAAGCAAATATTACCTCATATTATATCGTTTTTTGCAGTGTAAAAGTATGTAAAATGGTTGCACTGATTTAAGTTTTCCACATGTCTCTGCTCTGGAGACTGATTTAAGGAGTTTGAAATGATATTATAGAACTGTTTCTTTAGTATAGCATGGTATAGTATTCTTTTATTATTCAACCATCAGCAGAAAATTTTCAGATTGTATGTCTGTATGTGTGTTTCAAATATGAATGCTACTATTATCTAATAAGTATATGTAATTAGTGTGCAGTAAGGAGCGTCAAAAAGTGTATCAATTCAGTGGATTTTTGTACCAATGTGAGTGGGAATGGGGATCATTTGAGCAGTGTCAAGAAAATATAATCAAATATAATCAAATGCAAAAATCATCCCCTTGAGAGTGAGTGTCTGGAGTTTGTCAGATAGAAATGATAGATCCATTGATAGAAAGAGAGAGGTACATGATTTGAAAAAAATGACCCAAGCTCCTCCCCCTGCCTTTCTGATTGGCCTACGCCTACGATACCGTAACAATCAAACAACACATTTAAATGTTAATCGGAGAACACATTATACATATACATTATTAATACACATGCACAGAGGTTTTCAGAATTATCTGTAAACGTTTTCATGACAAAAATAATGTTTTAATGCACAAAAAAGTGATCGCTGTCAACCCGGAAGTAGCTATTATCATGGATTGAACATTATAGGACACATCTGCAGAGGATCTGATTATGGATATAGGTTCAGTATATAAATGATTATGGATATAGGTTCAGTATATAAATGATTATGGATATAGGTTCAGTATATAAATGATTATGGATATAGGTTCAGTATATAAATGATTATGGATATAGGGTCAGTATATAAATGATTATGGTAATAGGTTCAGTATATAAATGATTATGGATATAGGTTCAGTATATAAATGATTATGGATATAGGGTCAGTATATAAATGATTATGGATATAGGGTCAGTATATAAATGATTATGGATATAGGTTCAGTATATAAATGATTATGGATATAGGTTCAGTATATAAATGATTATGGATATAGGTTCAGTATATAAATGATTATGGATATAGGGTCAGTATATAAATGATTATGGATATAGGGTCACTATATAAATGAGTACCTCAGCGCAGATGTTCAGACTTTTTTGTTCAGTTTTCATGTAGTTCCAGAGCCTAATTGAGGCTTGATTCGGAGGCTCCGCGAAAACAAACAACTGAGCATGAGCAGCTACGAGCATGAGCGCTGATGATTGACAGCCCTTGGCATGACTTGATTGGTTAAACTGGACGGCATCGTGGATTTTGAGCTAAAGCTAAGAGAAGGGAAGCAAGAACTTTCCCATAATATTAGAATTCATAAAATGACTTATTTCATATCGACATTTAAGGCCAGGAGGTCAATTTAATACAATTCTTAAAATGTGTAATTCATTTAGAGTTCCAGACTGTCACTTTAAAGTCCCATCTGTAGATCAAGCACACGGTCTAAAGAGTTCGCAATGAGTCAAGCCTGGTTCACACGAGACGATTTTAAAATTGTCGGCCGATTTTTCTCCGTGTTAGACCCCACACGGGAAGATTAAAAATCCTGCGTCTAACCACTTTGGTCGTGCAGTGTGTGGTGCGTAGCCACACGGCAAGATCACGCAAGCCACAAACATCACACACGAACCGACACCCCCCCCCGAGCATTCCCAGGTCAGACGGAAATCTCACAAAATCTCTCGAGATCAAGCGTGACTTCAGAGTAAACAGTCATGGCGGACGAAGAGGATGCAGTGGCGATAGTGTGCAGTTTGTTGTTAACAGAGAAGACACGTAATCCAAAGAAAAGGCAATGGTCAAAGCCATGCTGCTGTGTTTTGGTTTTTTTCCGGTGTTTCCTCACCGGCTTGTCACCTCGTCTTCTTATTGGCTACACGCCGTAGTCATGGCAACGCGCTCGCTTGTCCTCGGAGGACACCACACACGACAAGAAATCGGGCCAAAACAATCCAACATGTTGGATATCCCCGATTTGAGATCGGGAGCAGTCCCGATGTCCTTCCGAGCGACGAGTGCAGTCTTAACACACCACACACGGCAGGATAATCTGTAAGATTTTGTTACGGAAATCGGAGCGTTTCTTAAGATTGTCGTAAGGGGTAAATCGGGTCTAAATCGGCCTAAATATCCTGCCGTGTGAACCAGGCTTTATGAGTCAAAAACGATTATAGCATCGTCAGAGGTAGATTCTTAAATAGTGTTTGTCTCGCCACACCGTTTTCAGAATGCCTCCTTCTCCATTTCTTTCATTGCATCTGTTATAAGTCCTGATTTTGTTCCAATATATTTCATGATGGTAAAATGAAAGGCTCACACTGGGAGCGATCTTCTGCAGCTGTCGGAGGGTGATGCGGTTGTACATGGTGCTGATGTCTTTTCTTTGGTCGTCGTAGTCAGAAATGGTGATCTGGGGGAAGAAAAACTGATCAATTACCAAATAAAACAAGAATGCATTGGGTTTTCAATGTTAGTGTTGATAGATTCTTCTAAATTAAATGAACTACACATAATAAAACCGAGATTGATAATTACACAATATTCTTCGTTTTAACAGATCTTATACATGTCTGAACCAGGCCTGTAGAAATGCATGTGTTGTAGATTAAAGGGGTGTTAGTATTAGATAGCAATATGGCCTACGTGCAGGACAGGACTCTGATTATTTTGACTATGATGTGACTGTCTCTGTGTGACACGTACGTCTTTTGATGTGTGACGTGACAATGACTATATAAACTGTGTACTGACTCCATTTTGTCTGAGAGAAAGAAACAGAGTAAACCATTGGAACTTGAGAGAAACTTAAATAAACTTCCAGAGTTTGGCGCACCACGATCCGTCTCTGTCTGCTTCATCCCTGACAGGGGCATTCCTCGTATGTCCTGGTGGCTTTTTGAATAATATTGTTGTTTGTCCAGGATTTTTCATACAGTTTGATGTTAAACCTGCCTTTTACAAGCATGTAACTTCACTATACTAACTTACTTTTTCTTCGGATGGGACAATGTATATTAATGAATACATCAGGTTGTATCTTTGTTGCAATTTTTTTCTGTAGTCCCATAATCACACAGCAAAAAGTGATAAAATATGAGGTAATAATTGCTTGAATCGAGTGGTTTTTGTCTTAATTTGAATTCATTCTGACTGGATTTGCCAATGGAACAAAGCCATTACATCTTATTCCAAGAACTGTTGCTTTTTTTGTTCCATTTCTTGTATCTTCATAAAACAAGATCATTTTGATTGTCCCATTGGCATATGTTGTTTTAAGGCAGTCAAAATGTGCTCAAATTTGAATTTTCAATACTTTTTGCGGTGCACATTTAAACACCATAAAACCCTACTTTTTAGTGTTAGGATTAACCGGAGCACCTGGAGGAAACCGACGCTATTATGAAGAGGCCCTGACTGGAGGTGGAATCGAACTCAAGCAAAGCCACAACTTGACTATCGTATGAAGCAGGGATCAGACCCCCTCACAAAAAGCAGGTGTAGCAGCAAATATAGATCAAGCAGTAACTGAATGAGTTTGAGAAGCGCTCACGTTGGCGAGGCGTGTTTCCAGAAGCATGATCTCCTTGGACTTCTGCGTGGCGTTGTGAGCTCCCAGCATGCTCAGCAGCCGCTCCATCAGCGCCTTGTACGCCGCCAAGATCTGCCCACAGCCACATTATCATCAGAGAGAGGAAGAGAAAGTGCCAATCTGCCTCTGTACACACACTTCTGGCTAATACTGTACATAACAAATGATCAGACTGTTTGGGTCTTGTCATTATTTACTTCATGTCTCATTTTCACTTGTTCAGAAATTGCACAGAACTTTTAACGAGTTGGAAATGGTGTGTTATATGAAGAAAACAAGTTTACTTTGACGCTGTCTTCGTCTTGTCCCAAATAGAGGCTTCTTTCAGGCAGCGTCAGTCCCTCCTGGTCGACCTGGAACACAGAGAACAGACTGGTTAAAAATAAAATGTATTTGCACCGAAAAATATGTTTGTTTTACATTTTTTCTGCCCAGTTTTTGAAAAATTGGCTGCACCTCAACTGGAAAATTTTATTGGAATTTTATGCAAATGTAATTACTGTTTCATTAGCTTGTTTAGTGCAAGAAATTAAAATGTACTTATAATAAAGAAAGTGATGAAGTAAATTGTAAGTGGCTCCTCACTTGGATGGTGAATATATTCATAATATTATATCTGTCTTGAAATTTCAGAAAATGTGTATAGAGTTCCAACCTTGTACACTTTGACTGTAGTAGAAACATAAGATTCACAGCAAAAAAATATGATGTACATATATATACAACACTTGAATTTGGTAATACAGCTTTTGCAACACATCACGTCTCATGTCTCCTTTGTAATGAGAAAATACTGTTTTTGACTGACAACAAGACAAAAACTACTTGCTACTTGTTTGTTCCCTTGACCAATCTTCAAAATATCAAGAGATATTGATCATTTTTTTCCAAATTGAAATGATTTTTGCTCCATTTTAAGTCAAATTTTCAAAGAACATTTAAAGATAATTTTGCTAGTCCTGGCTAATTAGCAAAATAGCATTAGCCACATATTGATAACTTGACTCCCTAGTTGTTGTGCTTCCGAGGCCTCACCCTGATGGCGTTCCTGGAGGAGTTCTTGTCGTCCACGTTGACAGTGAGAGAGAAGAAGACGGCCGTGCTGTAGACGCCCTGTGTTCTGTACAACATCTCGTTTATGTCCGGCCTCTGGGGGGCGCCCTCCGTCATCCAGCCTGCTGTCCCGCCGCTATGCACCCACACCTGGTCCCACCCCCCACAGCTGTCAATCACCTCCACCATCGGCTCTGAGCCCAGCTTGTCGATCTCCTCTATGTTTACACAGGACCTGCAGCAAAACAGGAAATATAAGAACGCATAAAAGCTGCGCTACTTAAATGTCAAACCACTAAAATCGAACTATAATACTCTCCATCTCTCTGGTTTTTTGCTCTCAAACACTTTGGTTCCATCACACTCATGTATTTTTTGTCTCTGTTACATCTTTGGATCGGCTTTTTCAGGTAGAAAAATGAAAGAGAGAGGACCAAAGAGCCCAAAGTATCAAATAGTGACTCACATGTTTTTCTTACAAGCATAATGAGATGAAAATAGTATGTTGCATTCTTATTTAAAAACTTTTAGCTTTTACAAGACTACTTCTTTTTCCGTTTGGACAAACACAATGAATTACATGCGGGTACATACGTAAGTTAGGTACAATTACAATTCAATACAATTTATTCTTGGATAGCCCTAAATTACAACAGCAGTCATCTCAGAGACTTAATAAAACCGTTGAAATCGCCAACACAGATCAGAGAATCAACAGTTAAAAATATAGAGCACACATGAATTGGTCCATAGGGAGAGACCAATGTCCATGAATGTTGATAAATGTCTGTGTAAAGTGTTCTGGATCATCACCACAGTCCTTCTGACCACATATACCCCAGATTTGATTGTTAAACTTCCCTACAGCCAACCCATGGGAAGTTAGAATTGTATTTTTCCCAATTTACAAAAACTAATCACCAACTCCAAATCAAAATAAAGCACCAGTTTGGACTCCAAAGTCACAAATATGTTTATTCCAAAGTTAACAGGGATTTTATTAAATTCTGCCCTGGACCTTTTGCTTCTCTTCAGCTGTGAAATGGAAAAGGTTCAAACCCAACAGTTGGTCATTTTGCAGTCAATTAAACCCAGACACCAACTCCAGTCCTTTGAAGTTACCGAGTAAATGGAAAATTAACTTTAAAGTTTGAACTTTCTCAGTGCAGAAATGGTTGCCTTTTATAATTAGAGTAAATGAGTCACGTGTGGCCAAAACTACTGTGTACTCCAGAGGGTTCGAAAACAGATTTGGTTAAAATTGCCACCAATTCTTTCAGTCATGGGTTTTTCTATCATTGCATTTCTTGTGTTTAACCGTTTGATTCTCTGATCTGTGTTGGCGAATTCAACAGTTGTGTATTAGGTTAGTTTTAATGTGATTTAGGGCTATACAAGAAAAAAAAGGATTGAATTGAATTTTTTAGTATTCAAAATAGACCCTAACCCGCCCGGATCAAACAACACGTACAGATTCATCAGAATCTGGAATCGTTTTCCTGAAAATGTGAGACAAGCTTCTTCTCTGACAATGTTCAACCTGTGGCTCGGAAGCGACCAGTAGTTCTCCACCCCCCTTCAGGTAGCTCTCCAAAGGACTCAAGGACTTAAAACATGATCCTGAATGATTCACTTTTAAGCCATTACATATCTGTTTTAAGTGTAAATCTTATCATGAATGTAGGGATACTGTACGGATACTGTACGGTGTCATGGTATATTATGCATGAGCGATTTCCATGGCTGTAGTTATTATATAGACTACAATTGTATTTCGACTGCTAAAAAAGTAGCTCCCTGCCATTTCTGTTTCATAAAAGCAGCTCTCCAATCGAAAAAGGTTGAAAATCCCTGATGTACTGTGATTATTTACTAATGGAATGCCTTGTGTGACTGTCTCTGTCTCAGCACTTTGCGTTGCCTTGTGTATGAATTGTGCTATACAAACAAACTTGCCTTGCCTGAAGTACCCCAACAACTTTCCAGTCCCAGTCATTAACAAATGCTATCTCACCTGTAGAACTCTTTGACCTTGCGCTCTGCTGACTCTGGGCCGGGCCTCCTGATGGGCTCCAGCAGGAGGCGCTGTAGCTTCTCCTCGTTGTGCTCGCCGATGGCCGTGATGATGCCGTAGCTCAGCTTATCCTCCGGTATCCCATGACGACGCAGCCAGCCCCCGCAGGCGAAAGAGTAGAAGTCCTCGCAGGGCTGGATGGTCGGGTCGATGTTGGCCTGGACGAACCGTGCCGCCCGCAGTAACGAGCGCTTCTTCTGGCAGTCCTGGCGGCACTGCGGGTCTTGTTGTGCGTCCAGAGAAATGTATTTGAGCGCTAACATGCTCCCGAGGATCACACACATACCGGCTGCGAATACTAAAGCCGAGAGAAGGCAGATCTCCCTCCGGCTCCACCGCGGAAGGCTGTCTTTGCTGGAGCTACTCAAGTCACGATTCCTGTCGAGAGAGAAGGGAACGTGAACCAAGACCGTGCCGTTAGAACTGTGAGGATAATTAACCTTGACTCGGACTTGGGATTTAGAAAGATTATATTTAAATGTGTCGTACTGTGTCCCCGTCCATCTCGAAGAATTTTAAATAAATATTTACTGTTCCTGTAAGTGTTTATATACAATTCTTCAAGATGGATAAGGACACATGACCACACATTTAAATCGTCTCTCTCTATATTTATTGAATATTTTACATAGAAAAAGACAATTTAAACTTATACTGTGTCCCTATCCTCTCGAAGAATTGTAGGTAGATAGATAGATACTGTATATATAATAAATACTTTAAGAGACAGTAAGTAAAGGGGCAGTAATGTGGACTCTTAGTGGTCTAGTACAGTGTGGCGCCACCTGCATGTAAAGCTAAATCCAATAAGACCTCTGAAGCTAAGCAGGAAAGGGCCCGGTTAGTACTGTGATGGGAGACTGTTGGGAACATCAGGTGCCACAGTGGGGCGGCTGCGGCTGTGAAGTGCCAATCTCTTCAACAACATTGCCTAGAATTAGTCTGGTCTGCATCAATAGTTGGTGGTGGTCGGAAAACCTGATGGCACATACCGATTGCGTTGTTTCTGTTAGTGTGCCCCAGGGCAGCTGTGGCTACAGTAGTTTGTCACCACTATGCATGGAGTGAAAGAACAAGGACATGTGAAGTGTCTTTGAGTGTCCAGAAAAGTGTGATATAAAACCAATGCATTGATAATATTATTATATGAAGTCATTACAATTAAAATCCTTACAAATAAAATTAGGTTGTTGTCAGATTTTTCCTTCCAGTGACGCATGTAGAGTCACACTGATTACAGATGCAGTCCACTTGCTGGGGTTTAGCTACAGACTGTAACAAACTCTATTACCTATGACGGGATATTTTTGTATCTGCAGCAAATGTGTGGTACTTTTTGTTATTGAAAAAAAAAGCACCAAAACCAGCTGAATTTCACATTACAGAATCTTTTGCAAAGATAATTTAATTAGAGAAGAAATTAGGATCTTTATCTTTATGATAATTTATGCATATTTTGAACAAGTCTAACGTGAAACCAACAGTTACAATCTCTGACGTGGTTGCCATAGATGAAGTTGATTATGCAGAAGATTATAAATCTGATTAACTGAATTAGTCACTCTAAAACAACTTTGAGTGGACAAACAAGCATCACTCGGCTTAAACTTACATTGAACAAAGTTGTCTCCCAACCTAAATACATGAGAGCATTCCTAATCCGTGGATCTCACCGGTGTTTGCTGGAGGTCCAGGAGCTGCCCCGGTCCCTGCTCACGTGGCGGTCCAGGCTGCCCCCGAGATGGAGCGTCATGCCGTTGCTGAGGATGTCACTGCTGTAGCGGCCACCGTACTTCACCTCCTGAAACTCGTCATAATGAGCCGTCAGAGAATACGTCTTCTCCATGGTGGCAGGACAGCTCAGCGCGTGATCATCACTCTCCCTCTGCCACGAGATTACATTCAGGATTATTGCTAGGACAATGATATATTATTATTGGGTTGATTATATTAATCTTTTGTTTTTGTTACAGGTCTTAAAAGCGTTGAATAGACCTCATACATTCTTTATCAGTTTGCAGAATTTGTTCCTCACTTTCTGTCACATGTGTAAATACATGTATATTTATAAGTAAAACTATATTCAGACAGGGACAGGAATAATACAATTAGAGGAGATATTATTTACTCCAACAGTAAGGCTACTTTGTAATGTCAAGTATTGTCTTTCTGACCCGAATTCTGTCATAGGCCAACAGAGAACAAAGTTAGTGATGCTAACAAAGCAGAGTTAACCTGATAAACAGAGCAAGGGGTGCCAAAAGAACCAACGCACAACGTGCCAATCCAGGAAAAAGCCAAAGAAAAGGCTTTCATCCACCACGGGGGAGAGAATGAAGCTAGTTCTCACTCACCATAATGCAAATAACAATAATGTTATAGATACTGTATATAGACAGCAAGCCAACTTTTCTAGAAGTTTAGATTTTGATTCCGTTTACATATTCTTTATTTGTATACACATGTCCCCATTATGCTGCTCCTTTCTTGGAGGTGAAAAACGTTTGAAAAAAAGGAATAGTATAATTATAACATTGCATTTAAAATCATCTCACAATCTCCAGTTTAAGTCCTGTCTCCCCTAAGGACTAAGTGTTTGATTACTTCAGGTGATTAGAATGCATAAAGTGATAGATTTGCACCATTAGCCCAATGTTAAAACACAAACGTGACCTTGTGCCTTCTGCTGTAGATTAATTGCCCTGGATACAAACTCTTACTTTTAAGTCTTTCTTGTTTTTGAACTGCTCCTTGCTCCGTCGCTCATCCCCTGTCTCTGAGCACCTCCATTTGTTCAGTCTTGTCCCTCTTGTCCGACTGATCCCAGTTCGCCTGTCGACACAAAAACAAGCACAAAAGAGGAAACATGAGATAAAAGCCGCTGTACACTCCTGCTGCTGGGAACACTGTCCGAGAAGGGACTGACAGAAGCCCCACGGGAGGCCTTGTCCTCAGGTAACTCCAGAAGTTCACAAACTTCAAACAGACAAATGGAAAAGCCCACAGCATCAATTCAATTCAATTCCATGTATTCTTGTATAGCCCTAAATCACAACAGTAGATATCTCAGAGGACTTTACGATGAATTTGCCAACGACGGATCAGAGAATCAAGCAGTTCAAACACAAGAAATGCAATGATAAAACAGAAAAACACATAGAGCCATTAATCCACAAGGGGCAGATGACCAATGTCTATAAATGTTATTGAATCTTGTCCTTGGACCCTCCTGCATCAGTAAGGAAAAACTCCAAAACCCAGTGGGAGAAAAGTGAGACGCTATGAATGACAAAGAACGGAGCTACTAACCACCCTATTGCTGTTTTAACAAGTTTGCAACACAGAGAAACTGAAAAGTCGATGAGATGCAGTGTGTTCTCTTCCAAATGTCAGTAAAATGACTGTATTTTAGATACAGCAGCTCATGGTTCAATCAAACACTTTCCAGGTTTGAACAATTTTCTTAGTAGGTCTTGCAGCGGATTGTCTTCAACAGGCAAGAAGAAAAACAGAATTTTTGACAATTTGCAGTTTCATATTTGAGTCTAAAAGTGGTTTTCAGAACACGCTGTAATACACATCAGCACACTATTCTTCAGAAGACAATTCCGTGTAATAAGAAGACATATTTTTTACACTTACAGTTTTTTTAATTTATTAAAATACATTGGGATTTTTTTCTCAGCAATAAGAGAAATTAGTCTGCCAAGAATTAGTCTGCTGGGGCCACCTCCAAGTGGCATCTGGTCTTGCCAGAGGTCTCCCATCACAGTTCAAACCAGTCCCTGCCCTGCTTTGCTTCAGAAGTCTAACGGGATTTGGCTTTCACCTGCAGGTGGCGCCACAAGCTACTTGTGGCGCCACAAAATCAAAACAATTGTTTTGATTCTTTGACCAAAACAATAACAATTGGCGGGACGGTGGTGCAGTGGTTATTGTAAAGTGCTTTGGGTGACCTTGGTCTGTAAAATGTTCTATATAAATCAAGATTACTTACTTACCTGTAGTAACTGATAGTGAACATTGATTGACGTTGATAGATAGGCAAAGGAGTATTGATATTTGCACATAACTATTGATGCCCAAATATCTGATTTTGGTCCATCAAGTCATCCATCTGCTTAACCCTTTAATGTTCTCTCCTTGAAGAAAGCGATGTAATTTTTTTTCTTTTTCTAAGAAGTTGGAGCTCTAATAACACAAATCATTTTAGTGTTATTTATTTATTTACTTTTAAAACCCATATTTTTTTTCTTTTATGTATGCTTTTACCAAATGGTTGAGATGCAGCTGGATGATAAAAGTACCTAAAACCATCCAAGTGATGGCCCAAAGAAGTAGATTTCAGATCCAAGCTTCAAGTAGATATAGTCACTCTCAAAAACTGATCCACCAAATGGGTTACCGTTTAACAAATTGTAAACCAAAATGGCGTATTACATCTATTTACATTGCTCTGGATTTGAACGAACAGCTCTATCCCGGCAATACTCAACAGTAAAACTAAAACTTGATAATTTTGCTCCAAATATTCCAAAGCTTTATCGCTTCATGTGACCAGACCCTGATTTATGTATTCATCGATTCACTCATGCCCCTGTCCTGTCCTGCCCCACGTCCCTTTAAAATGCCTGTTTCCCTTCGGCCTGACGCAGTAAAGTTGTTGAGAGACGCGTTGCTGATCCGACAGTATTGATCCTCGTTATCTCCAGAGAATGGCAAACTTCAGCATCGATGTCTTAACAAGCTCTAACCTCCGCGATGGGAGTGAAGCTGGGAGATAAGACTGAGACGGACACGGAAAGTGAAGGTAAACATGACAAAGGAGGCTGCGGGCTTCATTATTGCACACTCAGGATTAGAAGGACATCGATAAGTCGTTATAGTCATATCAATGCGGAGGAAGGAAGACGACTGGACTTCGCTGCAGGTGTGCATTCTTACACTTGAGAAACTGCAGACTCCTAGTGAATAGATAAACTAAAATATAGGACTGTACTACTATAGGTGGAGGGGGCGCCACTGGCTTCATGGAGATGCAATGTTGGCCTTGGAAGTTCTTTTTCTACGTTGATCTAACCCACTGCAAAAAGTTAAGAAAAATGAGACAAAAATTGCTCGAACTTGGCAAAATGTATCTCATATTGAGCATGTTCTGAACAGATACAAGAAATGTCTTGAGTACTCTCATCTTCACACAATGAATAAAAAAAATTATTGTTTGGACTAATCAGTGTATATACTAACAGATAGTGGGCGGGCTGATTGCACTGATTGGCTGATAGCACTCTCACTTCTATGCAATACAATACAATACAATTTATTCTTGTATAGCCCAAGGTCACAACAGAAGTCATCTCAGAGGACTTAAAAAACCATTGAAATCATCAACACAGGTCAGAGAATCAACAGTTAAAACACATGAAAAATATAAAGCACACACAGAAGAAAATGTCCATACATGTTGTAGAATGTTAAAGTGTCCTGATCATCACCAATCCTTTCTGTTGGACACCAACTGTCCAACAAGACCCTCCTGCATCGACAAGGAAAAACTCTTAAAAAACCCAGTGGGAAAAAGTGAGAAACCTTGGGGAGAACTAGGGAAACCCACAGGGAGGGAGACCCATTTGAGAAAGGGATCCGCTCCTCCGGACGGGAAGGCTAATGATCTAGGACCTAAGCTAGCTACAGAACGTGGATCAGTGGTCGCTGAACGTGGACAGGTCCGGTGCAGGACTGAAGCACTCCCAGGCGGGTCGGGCGGGGCAGTCCACAGGTGTAGATGGAGGAGGCCAGGCTCAGAGATCCCATGCAAGAAGGTTCTGGGTTCAAATCCCGGTCAGAACAGGTCCTTTCTGAGTGGAGGTTGCATATTTTCCCTGTACAAGCGCAGGTTTCCTGCAGGTGCTCCGGTTTCCCTTACCACTAATTGTTGTGTGAGTAAGACAACAGATGCTAATCAGCCCAAGGTTACAATCTGAAGAGGTGTATAATAACGTGCACTGTGCCAACAAAATAAACAGGTAGATCACTATTGTATTGGTATAACAAAAGTATTGACCACTTTAATCAAAAGACCAGTCAGACACATAACTACCAAGCAGATTGGTGAATGTGATCAGTTTTTCTGTTGTTCAAACCTAATATTTTATGTTGTCAATTGAGAAGCGTCACGTCTCGCAGCAGCAGCAGTGTTGAAATGATACAAGAAATACCTTTGAATGTAAACTAATAATGCTAGAAAAGCTCCAAATCCTCCTCAGGGAGAACACATTTATTGCTAAACACATATTTTCCATTTGGATGTTATTCAATTTCAGGACTTTAATAATCTGAACATCACTCCATCCAGTGTGCAACGCAATGAAGGCAAGAGGGTGACAACATTAACCAGAAAAGGGAGGTAAATGTACATAATGTTCGCACACACACACAGTACTCATGATGACTCTCTGATCCAGATTGAAGGCCCCTTTGTCATAATATCGTCACACTACTGATGCCAAACCCGTTAATGCAAAAAACAAATCTTCTTTCTGCTTTGAATAAAACCATTGTCAAAGTCAATTACTCCCAATTCTCGCATCTGTGACATCATGCTGACTCATGGTCTCAGAGATATTCGATTTCTAAATGTAATATATTGATATGAGTCATTACTTACCCGCCTTGTAATCAAATTAACCTCTGCTCCAAATTCACCGGGGGTTTCTCTATAACTCCTGATATTCTGAGTAGCAATAAAGATCCCAGCAGTAAGAGGGATTTGAAAGCATGGTTGATTTTACTGGAGGCAAAAATGGAGTAAAAGCAGTATACTGGAAAGGCCCGATAGAGCTTCTAAACACATACTGTCAAATATAAAATCCATACATCACTATATATATATTAGTCTTTGCCTGTTTTATATGTGTTCGCCAGACAAGCTTGTCATGCATTTCCATAAAGAAGGTCACAAATTGCCTGTTTTGCCATTGGGAGTTTATGCAGCTTTAAATTATGCACAAATTGTGATAAAACTGAAAAAAAAGTCAAGGACGTCTCTCATAGTTGCCATGATCAATTTAACCCATCATCCATCAATCTCTCGCTTTGGTACCCACGGCAACACCTCCTGCATGTGTTTAATGCATTGGCAAATATTCAGAATTAATGCAGGGGGGATTCTGTCTTTTACCGCAAACAAACAACATCTTCCGTACAGCTCTCCATCTCTATGAAAAGACTTCGCACGTCACACATGCAGCAGAATAAGTGATGATACCGGGACTATGGCGGCCTTATTGAAGGACCACCGTTTGGCTAATGGACTGGAGCCGCACAAAGAGTAGCTGGTGATGAATGGCTATTTACTTAACTAGACAGGTCTTAATATAGTGACTTGTACTAATACGGCGGCGTGCTCCATCCCTCTCAGTAAACGCCAGCCGAGGAAACGGTGATGCATCGAGAGGTGTCAAAGAAGATCCCGTAAGTCTTTATAGAGTGACACTTTTACTGGGTTCAGCAGAGGAGTCTCAAGCTGTGGGGCAGGGACCGGAGGGGTCTTAAGTGCAGCGGCATATAGGCAAATGGAATATATAGAGATTGAATAAAGTGAATGAATAGAGTAGATGGATTTTGATTATACTGAGGGGCGCTTACTTATTATGATTAAGTCAGACATTTTATACTTAATTCTTGCTTCTTCATTATGCTAAAATTGGAGATGTTATACTTGGTTCCTTTTTATGCTAAAGCTAGAGATGTCATACTTGCTTCTTTATTATGCTATTTTTTTTTTTTTTTTATAGAGTTATTGCTGATTTATATTGTGTTGTGTGCTCCTCATTCCTACTGTTCTATAACAACAATGACATTTCCCCACTGTGGGACAGATAAAGGATCTCTTCAATTGATGTCAATGCACTTTTGGATTCTGTGCATTGACACAAGATCAGATGCATGTGAAAGTTATTTGGTTCTTCTATATCACACAATATTAAAAGAGCGAAACCACTTTTGTCTGAGGATCCAAAAAACTGTATCTACTAAGAAGACAAGATGCACCTTCCTAAACTAGCTGCTCCCATCTCTCTGGAGCCAGGACTCCCCTGAAAATGACATTCTGAAATCTCAGTGGACTTTCCTGGTTAGTAAGTAAGTAAGTAATCATATCTTGTAAGTTCAGAGTTCAGATATTTCTCCATTCACTCCACACGATGATGACGGAAGCAAGACAGCGGACAAACACCATCCATCCACTCACACATTATATTCAGACCTGTTGTGCATGTTTTTGGTGGTAGGGGAAATAGGAGCAAATGCAAACTCCACTCAGAAAGTCCTTGTTTCGACCGGGATTCAAACCCAGGACCTTCTTGCTTCTTAGTGCTATCCACTCTGCCACAGTGTCGCCCCACTGTGGTTCAATAAAGGTCAATACAAATAAGCGGAAAGGTTTTACGTGGCCAATTCCATTACCCATTGTGTAGAATTCAGCCAAAACCAAAGAACAAGCTGTGCCAATATTCAAGTTTCAATCCATGTTTTCCTAAATAATGCAATTTGAATTTACTGCAAACTCATCCTCAGCTCTGGTAAACCTCAGCCATAAATAAAACGTTATGCATATTTTCTAGGCAGCAACGCAGCCCAATGTGGGTCGGCCTCTTGCAAAAACAAGCCTTTAAATGCTGATTAAGATTCAAGAGTGCAGAGAACACAATGTACAGTAAACCCTTATACATCAGCGACCAGATATCTTTGGGATCCTTTGTCAATAATACATGATAAACGTGTTTGCACTGACAATCATCGGCAGAGGTAAATCCAGAGATATCAGCGTCCCAGAAAGCCAAACAAACTCACAAACGAAAGCAGGAAGGAACGGAAGGCGCCACAGACTTAAATTTAATCAGAGAGAGTTAATTATGCTTCACTTTCACTATCTATTGCTGCCATTCTCTATTCTATAATCGTCTCAAAACAATCTCGCATAAATGTGGGTGAATCTTGTTTTTCGTCACAAAGAAGGCTATTGATAAAACTAAACTTGGGGGAGGAAAAATCAGATACAATGTGCAGACTTCAAAAGATGTTTTCGTTCTGCAAATGTGTAACTTGAGAAAGCTGATTATAGCAACGCCTGTTACGGTTGTAGTTTTGGATCAAAAAATGTTTTACAGATTCATTATTGACAAAATAAAGTGGTGATCCATGGTGTTTGTTGCTGTGGTGTGTGTCTCTGGCAAACTGCTGGTTTCAGGGACTATTGGAGTTACTCAAATATCCATGAATCCTTATAACTTAAAATAATTCAAGCTGGGGTACCTAACTGCCAAACAATCTAAACTTGGCTTGCAAATAAAACTAATTTAAAGTAGCAATATGTAAGATTTTCATGTCAATTCATCAATAAATGGCGCGTATCGGTCAAAATTCAGAGAAATTCGAATCTGGCAACCTGAGTCAGGGAGAGGTTGCAGTACCACTTTCGGCCAGAAATGTACATACTGCTCCATTAACTACTCCCTGGCTCTAGTGTTTGGTTCTACAACAAGTTTAAGCACGAATGAAAAATATATAATAGAGGCAGGGAGTGGAATTGGAGTGGATAGAGTTGGTTGGAAAATATTCGCCAAGTTGTCAGGAAGAAGTGTGGAGAATTGTAGAGAATTGGTTGTTAGGCATTTACGCATTTCTCCAGAAGAACAAAAGGAATCTCTAACATCAGCTCAGGACAGGCCAGAAAGAGTAGGTTCCATGAGGCTGTAATTATAGGCTTGAGGGCGGAACAAGGTGCAGCCCAGGGGAGGGTAGGTATGGTAGGAAGAGGGATTTTTTTGGCCTTTGTCATATCTTTAGATCATCTTTCAGACAGAAGAGTACAAAAGAGACAACAAATAGTAACTCACTGGGTACTTTGAAGTTCACAAAAAGAAGGGTCATGGTCT